GTGGCTTCGCTCTGCCATCTCTGATTCACAACAACCAATCTCTCCTATAGGTTTCCTATTTTTGAAACTTCCGCCACCGCCTTGTGCGGTACTACTGGTATATCATGTACGATTTTTGAGACTACTGCAACGCAGTCCGTCGCAACGTTCTTGCTACGACATTGTTCATCGCGGTTGTTAGGGTGAACGAAACAAAGTTCTTGAGCAATCTGACATTGTCGAGTTTCAGTGCGGGTCTTGACTTCGGTCGGGGTGGGGATGTATGTAAACGTGGTGGGTGAAAGTGCATGTGCGGCTGTTGGCGTTTCCTTGTAGTCCGCCTATGTTGCAAACCCGGCTTTAGAGGCGGACCTGGGGGGAATCGAAGGGTGGGGGGGGGGCGGGGCCCGCACGTTCGACACTTGGAGGCTATATCGCAAGCCAAGAGGCTATGGATCAATACCAATCAACAGGCAGCGAAGCAAACCATAGGCGCAAAATGGACGCAACTGATTCCGCCTGCTTCGGGCCGTAATAGGCTTTCCAGAAAGACATGTCGATGAAGCCGCTGGAACCGCTGGCGCCGATCAGGCCAATTGAGCCGATGAGGCCGATGGAGCCGATGAGGCCGATGAGGCCGATGGAGCCGATGAGGCCGCTGGAGCCGATGAGGCCGATGGAGCCGCTGGAGCCGATGACGCCGCTGAGGCCGATGAGGCCGATGGAGCCGCTGGAGCCGATAGAGCCGCTGGAGCCGATGACGCCGATGAGGCCGATGAGGCCGATGAGGCCGCTGAGGCCGATGAGGCCGATGAGGCCGATGGAGCCGATGAGGCCGATGGAGCCGCTGAGGCCGATGAGGCCGAGGAATGAGGCCGATGGAGCCGATGAGGCCGATGGAGCCGCTGAGGCCGATGAGGCCGCTGAGGCCGATGAGGCCGATGAGGCCGATGGAGCCGCTGGAGCAGCTGGAGCCGATGAGGCCGATGAGGCGAGCCGATGAGGCCGATGGAGCCGCTGGAGCCGTTGAGGCCGATGGAGCCGATGGAGCTTATGAGGCCGATGGACAGGCCGATGGTCAGGCCGATGGACCAGGCGCGCCACAATGCAAAGCACCCATGCTCTGAAAGTGGCGCTTGGCGCCGGAGATAAATCCTATGCAGTATTGCCACTATAAAGAGAGTTGCAGGTTACAGCTACATGTATCGAGACACCTTAACCCATTCCACCCTGCCTACATGCACAAGAAGTGGTGCCGCAAAATCGACGCCAACCGTCAATGGCACGGGCGGGCCCCCCCCCCTTGAAAGGCGGACCGAGACATAACCGGCCCAAACTCTTGCACTTGCACCGCTCGCCCCCTAATACTTGCTACGCAAGGGGGAACTCAGGTAGCTCACCGCTACCTTTCGAGATAATCCACGGAAGGGCTGTCCATGAAAGATTGGTTTTTATTTCAAAACGCCGTTCACTGCGCAACGGATTGTCAACTCAGTATGCATTGCAAGCTCTCACTTTTTGCATCGGGATCTCACGACGCATTCAGCCTTTCTTCCCAATTTCAATTCCATGAATGCGAAGAGCTGGCGGGTTTGAATTGCAGCATTTTCAGAATGATTTTTGAAACCCTTCTCCACCAGTTCGGCAATGCAAACTCCTGAAGGTTTGTCCGCTATGTTGGAGTGGGACGGCACTCTAGCCAACTAACACGAAGTTTCAACTTGCATTTCAAGCTCAGCAAAAACTGCACAACGAATGTCGACAACCGCATTGTCAGACGAAGCCTTAATCAAACATGTTTTTCCTTATTATCCGCATACAAAAAGCAGTTGCGTTTTTCAATGGAGCCCTCCCACATCATGTATGCAAGCACCGCAGAAAAAGTCTCAGTTTCAAAAATGATTGATTAATTTGTTTCTTGTTTAACTCGCCTAAAAGGGTTCTTTGTTCTGCATCCAAAAAAACAGAAAAGAAAAATTCCTCATCAGTGCGACCATCAACCAAAACTCCACCTAGTCTGCAGACCAAATCTTTTGCGTCCTTCTCATAGCAAGCGTCAGTATCAACCACCACACCAGGTCTTTCATCCCAGCACACAGCACGAGGTTTTCCAGCTGAAAGCAGTTTGGCATTATTTTTCTTACACCATTTGGCTGCACACCTCAATGTTTTTTGTCGTGGAATTTCAAATTTAGTCTGATCTCAACACTGCAATGCCTCTAACATGTTATGTTTTTGTGAAAGAACGGCGACAATGCGCAACCTTTTGTGCCAATGGGGCCTCAGGAGTAAAGCATCCTCACATGGTTTTCATGTGAATGCAAAATGGATTCAACTGCACTTTGCATCTCGATTTGTGCGTGTCATTCTTGGCATGGGTGGACATGAAACTCTTTTGCACTCCTCCTCAGCACAAGGAGCGTAGCTTCTTTGCGCTGCATTCCATATGACGTAAATTCCAGTCCTTGTCTCTGGAAATTTCATCACATTCCTTCAAATCAAATCTCAAGTGCCACCCATGAGTCCATGCAAATCATCCACATATCTTCGATATGAAGTTGCACGTTCATCTTCACCTCTGTTTCTGGCGCTCTTGAAAAGGCGCTGAAAGATATTCCTGATTTCATTTGCCAGCGGTATTGTAAACCCTGCCGGCTCATCACCAGAAGTAACACCAAGAACTGCCAGAATTGCATGTTGAATTTGGCTGGCATCGCTAAATGCCTCCTGTGCCAGCGCTGCATTTTGCTCCCCTCTCAAAACTGAAAGGAGCCTTGTCAGCCCTGTAGCCGGTGTTGATGCCCCCGGCTCTTCATCATCTGTTGCAACCTCTGATTCTCCTCCTTCGTGATGTCCATGTTGAACCTCGTCAGTGGTGTCTGGGTTCCTTTGTTTCATCTGCCACAAAACAAAGTTGGCACGTTCCTGAATAAACCTATGACATCTCTGAGCAGCTGTAAGAGCGTGATCTCGCATGAAACCTCCTAGTTCCATCAATCCATATCTCAGCTGATCTTTCGTTTCATCCAGGACTTGCATTCCATCTCTGATGTCTGCTTCCAGCACTGTCAATCTGACATTCGTTTCATTCAATCTCTCATCGTTTGTCTCTCCATAGCTCAGATTATCCAAACGTTCACACAACCATGCTGCATAGTCGTAGCGATCTGCACCTGAATGGAATCCACATCTCGCATTGCTTCCTTCAGTTTCTTCCATCCATACATTCCCAGTGCAAGCAAAATCACCATGAAAATTGTTCCGTATGCCACATGATCTCTGTAGATCACACCAGGAGTACTGCACTGTTGAGCTGCTGCTCCCGTTGGCTCAAGGCCCATAGCAACACATAACCTAATGATCAACTTTGCTGCCTTTTGAAGCTGCTGGCTGTTGTTGGACTCCTCCACCTGACGTTGGTGCTCTTCAATACCAACATCCTCAAAGGTGTTGACATAGACCATCCCAATTTCATTCATCAAAACAAAGAGTCGATGTTGTGGGAGAGCCTTTGTCCCTACGTCTGCCATGTTCCACGTAGTTCCAACTTGGCATAAAGTCAGCTCACCTGAATTGGTTTTCTCTTGAATCCACAACACTTTGCCTAATAAGTGTCTCACTCTTCCACATCCTTGTCTGCTGGCCAACTGCCTTGCCAAAGACCTTTCGAATAGCCCCAGTTCATTGCTGAGCTGCTGTCTGCGTAGACAACATTCTGAATTTCTTCACCCAACACAAAACGCAAGCAAACCATCAAAAACTGTCCATCACAAGCTGCACTGACCATTATGGCACAACTAGTGCACAATGTACCGACTCGCCACGCATTGCTACAAAAAACAGCTCTTACAAATACGCGTCGCCACAAATCTCTCACTCTCACAAAGTCACTCGTTCTGAAACGGTTCACAATCTTTCAAATTCTCCTTTCCTCTTAATCCTCCCGTTTGATATTACGCACTTCCTTTTCTCGGGGACAAATCAATTGAATCAATAATTCATCCATCTGCGACTTTACGCATCCATGCATTCTCGACCTAAAACAGGTCAACTCCATGCAGTTGAAAAATATCTCTACCACACAGGTAGCATAACACGACCTGTACACTGCCATGCACAAAATTGGCACTCAGCGAAGCGCATTATGCAAAATGCTCAGAGCCGCAATACGGCAGAATCATCAATACGGCAGATGCAACAATACGGCAGATCAAAGCCATATACGGCAGAATCATCAATATCGCAGACAAAGTCAATGCAATATACATCAAGCCAAATACGGCATAAAGATGCATAGCCATCCCAAAATAAATGTGATAGAAAAGCCAAAAAAGGGCAAAATGTTATAGATGTGTGCCGTGTTGTGGAAGGACCACAAACTCGATGAAATACCATGCATAATAATTCGATGCCACAAAAGGGGCGCCATATACCACAAATCATAGGATGGTATACCACAATCGCACTGAATATATTGCATGTCTTTACAACCCCCAAGGTCGTTTAGAAGGAAACCTCCGAATTACAGAAGCGCGTAATAGAGATCACCAAATTAAAATAATCAAATAAAAATTGTCAATAAATCCACATGGAACATGGAGGTGCAGCCGGACACATTCTTTTTGCTAGCAAGGTCGGGGGAGTAGTCACACGGTTTGAAGTGACTGTTGTGATCTCAGTAGTGTCACCCGTCACATCTGTGCTTGTCTTCCTATGGCTGGATTATCTCTAAGAGATCTCAGCCATTTGAAGGATCCATGTGTTTCCCCCATATGTTTTGAGGGTGGGTGACTCGCAGAGGCATTTGGGTGGGTCAAAAACTATGGGAAAAATCACAGAAATATTTTCTGTGTAACCCGCCCACCTCATCCCCTGATTTGAGATGTAAAATACAACAAACGAAACATCAAGTATGTCACTTCGGAAAATGATTCAGTAAGACAGTCAGATTTAAAATTTGACACAAACCAGTTTCACCAGATTGTTTCAAGGTTCCAGTTTGTTGGGTTTTGTTTTTTTTTTTAACGACCTTGTGCGCTACGTTCCTGCGCTGGGCAGAAAAGACACGGCTTTCATGGTACCCATGATTCACCTACGTCTTTACAACCCCCAAGGTCGTTTAGAAGGAAACCTCCGAATTACAGAAGCGCGTAATAGAGATCACCAAATTAAAATAATCAAATAAAAATTGTCAATAAATCCACATGGAACATGGAGGTGCAGCCGGACACATTCTTTTTGCTAGCAAGGTCGGGGGAGTAGTCACACGGTTTGAAGTGACTGTTGTGATCTCAGTAGTGTCACCCGTCACATCTGTGCTTGTCCTCCTATGGCTGGATTATCTCTAAGAGATCTCAGCCATTTGAAGGATCCATGTGTTTCCCCCGTTGTTCGAGGATCCAGATTACATCCCCGTCCTTCCAAGCAAGCTGAGGGAATGGTGCTCCATCTAGGATGGAAGTAAAAAGCTCGGCCGGCAAAGCAATGTCACCTCCAAAGTTCAAATGCCATCTTTGGCATGCCTCATCTGTTTTCCTCCTTGAAGGGAGGTCCGCAGGATTGCAATATGATGCAATTCTTTCATACCAAAGGTAGCATGGCATAGCGCCTTCCAAACAGGAGCAGGCATGGGCCATCCGAAAAAGTGGGTCAGAAGGTGATCGCCCCTTGATCAAACAATAGCGGCAAGGTTCGTTGTCAATGAAAAGAATGGCCCTGCGGCCATGCAAAAGGTGCCTTGCCTGCCACCTGACACACAAAACTGCATACATCTCGATCTGACAAATAAGTTGTTCGCCCACTAAGCCATGCCAGGCATCCAAAAGAAATGAGGGCACTGTACCCGAGTAGCAGGTTCTAGTCCCTGTGGCCACATCGAGGAGGATCGCTCCCCAGTCAGCTAGACCATCTCCAAAAGCTCCGTCAGTGTAAATTATTATAGGTTGGAGAATATCTGCTGAGGAAACCTTTCGGGGCTGGAGGGACTTAAGGACCATCGCTGTATGCTCACATAGGCCCGCTAGGGTCGCTGGTTGTAACGTTACCCCCATTGCTAAGGTTGAAAACCCCTGCGCTGCAGGCTGTAAGGCTTTGCCTAGTGCAAACCCCGAAGCGAAGTTCAGTAGCCCATGTATGGACGCAGCAGTAGCGCTTGACACATGGCCTTCCTGGGCCACCTGTTGAACCATACGTTCCATCCGCGCCAGTCGCTCCGGCTTGTTACCCACAGTGAAGAAGGAACTGTGGATACCAGTCAAGTTGTATTCCACACCCAAAGCAGCGAACGTTGGAGAGAAGGGTTTGGCCTTCTTTCCTGTGACAGCATGCCTCCAGCCAAGCAATTGGAAAAACCCGCATACCACCTGGGTGGTGTTCTCGGCAGCCATGGCAAACTCTAAGGTGGGGTAGTCATCGTAAAAGTTTGTGGTTAGTACCCCAAAATCTTCCCAAAGCAGAAACTGTAGTGCCCTGGCCATCTTGTTGAAACTGTAAACACTTGCAGTAGAACCAAACGGCAGTGACTGTCCTATGTAGTAATACCATTTGCCACTGCGGTCACGGGCCCCCAGCACTGAATACCTAAGGCTTGCTACACTCACCGCCAGTTGCTTGTAGGCTTTTGACAAGTCGAAGCACCTGCCCAGAATGGCCTCTCCAGACCTAGCAGCTTGCGAAAGCCTACCACGCAAAACAGTGCCGTCCGAAAGTTGGATGGCTATCTGTGGGCCTTCCCGCAACAGGCGCGTCAGGAGAGTTATTAGAGCGGCCAAAACATCGACGTCCTGCAACTCCAAGTACGACCTGGAAGCAAATGCAGAGTTCACATGGCTCCGTCTGTAATCATCTATGATGCGCTCCTTTCCCTCATCGCCCTGTATGAGCAGAAATCGCTTTGTCAAAGTCCAACATGTAGTACCCAACTCCGTGGATACCTCCTCTTCTGAAAAGAATGGTCCTTTGAGAAATTGTTCATCCACTTCTTCCTCCGACAGCTCAACGAGCCGATCAGCATGTTCACGTTCATGGTCAGCCAGGGGTCGGCCTATTGTTAGTCCCCTGTGCATAGGAGCGGAAAGGTCCAGTTGGCCAACTGTCATGGAGGCAGGTTGCAACTTTTCTTTGAATAACTCGGAAACCGGTTCTTCTCCAACCAAATCAACCCCTTCCAAAAAGTCATTCATCACCCTCATGTCTGGAAATGAGTTGGCCTTCAAGCGTTCTTCAAAAAGCAGGAGGCGTTTGCCTTGAACAACTCCTTGGACATGTGAAGGCAGCTTTTTGTGCAACCCCGCTTCCGCAACACGCAGGTCAGCCGCTCTGTCTCTGTAGAGCTTCAACATTTCCAGGCGCTCTCTGGCAAGCACTGCCGGTTCTTTGGTGAGCATGGAAAACAGGGTTTTCTTGAGAGGGTCAGGCAGCACAATTGTAGTATCCATCGGGTGACAAAGCTGCAGCGCTCTTGCGATGTGAGCTTCCGGTTCCATCCAAACTCCTACCTTGAGGCCGCATCCCTCAGACTGCGTTGTTGCAGCCACCTCAAGTTCTTCCCCCGCTGTTTTAGGTGGCAAGGGCTTTTCATTGGCAGCTGGTTTAGCATCCACTGGTAGCCAATGGAAAGCCTCAAAGTCAGGGACCAGCTGTTGCAGTGCACGGTGTTGTCTTCCTTGCGCCTGCAGGCTATCCAGGCGCAGTTGCTTCAGGTTCAGAAAGGTGGGCCCCGACGCAAGTTTCTGTAGAATGCAGGCTGCCATTCGCCTAGCAAGGACCGCTGGGTATTCTGCTTCTGCGGCTGTATCAAAAACCCAACCCCGGTCATCGAGCTTTTTGGCAGACCAAGGCTCATGGCTATGAGAATGGTCACAACGCACTGCAAGGTCGTTGAAGACGCCCGGAGAGCCTAGAATTGTAGTGCTCTTGTTGCGGGTTGAGCCATGCATGCACGCATCAAACATTGTAGCTTCCAGTGAAAAATACCATTGAATGAACCCCTCATTGGCGGTCTGCTTGACTAGGATGGCCAGCAGAGGCCATAACCAGCTGCGCGCTGGATTTTCTATCGAAACAACACATTGCAGCATGTAGCATGTTATCAGCAAGGTTATGGCATGCTTGTAAATAGTGTTGGCCTTGTCGACCTTGAGCTTGTCAGTGGGCGATAAACCCGGCCGGCCAAACAAATGGGCTTCATCTCGAAGAGGTTGGGGTGTCGGGGCCCCCTGCTTGCGCAGCTCTTTGGAAACCTGGTGTTCTCTTGCTCTGCTGCATGTGCCGCACATGAGTCCAAAATGGACTGCATCAGGTTTCACAAATTCTAGCATCTGATTTGCCACAGTGACTTCGTCCTCAAGGCTCAGATCTATGGAAAAAGTTGGCACCTTTGGCGTGAAACGATTGGCCTGGTGGTCAACTGCGAAGACTTGGCATCCTGCATTTTTCATAGCCAGGGAAAAAGCACCCGACCCTGAGAAAAATTCAATAAACGTCGTTTGTCGTTGATTGGCAGGTTGCACTGTGGAGACCGGTAGTCAGTGGTCGCATTGGTTGTAAGGCCGCTTGGCTCCACACTTGAAACATTCGTGGACTCCAAACTTACATTTGCTCTCTTTTTGGCGATTGCACAGCCCCCATTGATATTTCAAACAGCGCCATCCATTGGCACCCTTGCGTTGGCAGTCTTGTGGCACTTTGCGCCAGTTGGTGGCGCCAGGGGGCTGATCGGAGGTCTTGGGCGTCGGCTTTGCTGGTGCCGATGGTCCTCCCGGGCTAGGCTTGGGCTTTTTAGGCCTGGGGGTGTCTGCATGATCGCTGGCATCGCGTTTGGCACTTGGCAGTGGTGTCAAAAAGCATAGAACCTCAGGTGAGGTGGTGATCTGCTCGATGAGCACGTCCAGTGGTCTTATATCAGGTGCTGCTGGCTGCAACCTCCCCCTGGAAAGCTGAGAGAGTTGTAGCCACATTTCCTTGTCGCACTCGCAGATTTGCTGTGTGGTGATGTATCGGTATCCAGATGGTGGCTCCTTGAGCTTGGCCAGCATCAACTTTGTTGTCCACTTTTCTAAAACCACGAAGCTTGCAAGGCCGGCTTGATCATAGGCTAAATTCCTTCTTGTCCAGGCGTTTCGCAGGTTGAGATCGCCATTGGTGTCGCACTTGAGCTCCTCTGCCTTCTTACCCATGCGGATGTTGCCACCTGAATCAAATGTAAGGGCAACTTCATGCTTCTCCTGGTGGATCTCCTGAACTCTGCTGACGCAAGCATGTGGTGGAATAAACAATAAGGCTCCCTCCTCTTGCATTGCTACGATTTTGTCAACCAACTTATGGGATGGCTCCAACTCAGCCGTCCATGTGACACCTACCAGGTCGCCCTTTTGACGCTCGATCCTTGCCATGCGCTCTGCAAGTGGCATGGCCCTCGGTTTATCATCTGCTGAGCGATCGATCCTCGCCTGCATGTCCGAGGCTGCATAAGTTCGGCCTTCAAAGTATAGCCGTCTGCACAAAACCATCTCCTGAGGAGTTACAGCACGTCCCAGTAAGGCTTCCACTGCGGTCTGAATGGGTGAGTCATCCACGCTATTCTGGTCGCATTGGCAGCAGAAAGCCCATTGTCCAAAGGTGTCCAAATTGCACCCTTGAAGGTCCACCAAAAAGCCGTCTGGCACGCCAATTGCACGTGCCCGTGCTTCCCATGCAGCTTTGGATTCCAGTGAAACCATGGCCAGATCGCGGCGATGAGGGGGCAAGCAAAGTTTATACTCATGGGCAAAGTGGTGATGAATAAAAATTGAAGTTGTGAGAATCCAAAGGCGTACAAGTGATGGTCACATGAGAATCTCTATGCAAATAAAATACTTCTGCTCGCTGATCCTAGACATCTGTTTGGATTGCGACTAGTGCCGCCTCAAACTTGATGCACAAGGATGTTGCGGTCAATTGAAGAGATTCTCAACTCACAAATTCTTGCACTTTGAGTTTTCGTTTGGATTGTGATCAGCATCACCTCAAACTTGCAGTGCTCTGAAAGTGAGTTTCAGAAAAATTAAACAATTGAAATATACTCGTCACTGATCAGTGTTGTCAGTAGTTTGGATCGCGACCTTGCCGCCTCAAACTTGGTGTAGTGACCACTCAGAGAGGACATGTTGATTCCATGCAAGTGCATATAAATTTATATACATGTAAAGACACAGAAAAATAAGAGGGGAGGATAAAATAATGTTGGGCCCATAGCAAAACCTGTTTGGATTGCGGGGTCACCGCCTCAAACTTGGCTGCCTTTGATCCCCCTCTTTTTGCTGCTCTCACGGCTGTGCCTTGTCGCATTGTTGGCACACCAGCAACTGAGCCAGGTCTGGATCACCCTCTTGCCACTGCCGATAGTTTCGTGACAGCTTACGGCCGCACCACAGGGTCTGGTTGTCTCGTTTGACATGAACAACCAAGGAGTCTCGATGCACAAGTTTTGGTCCAGCCACTGTGTTAGCTGGTGTTGACTGGTTCCCAACAAAGTTGCAGCCTTCCACAAAACTCTCCTCTTCTGAGACATCGGACTCGGATGCTGCCCAATCACCCGGTGGCTGTGGGGGCTCTTCCGGCTCCGGCAGAAGGTCACGGTTCTCCTGAAAAATTCGAGCAGCATTGGAATCATCTGGATTGAATTCAAAATTGCGAATGGCTGTCAACATCCTGAAAACTCTTGAATGCAAGGCTGTCAAATTGTCTCTTGAGTATGACAGTGGCATCAAAGCATTGGCATCCATATGATGCGTTAACATGCGACGCTCATCCATGGAGAAGCCCCCAAACTTTCCAGCCCAGGTAGGAATGGTCGCCTTGCAGCTATGTGTGCTGTACTTGGCAGCCTGTACTGGAGTAAGGCCGGAACGCACAAGCACCTCTCGCAGCCACAAGTTGGCTTCAGCTGTAGTGATACGTCGTTTCAAAAACTGCCCTGAAACTTCCGAGAAAGCAGGCATGATTGTCTCGGGTTGCATTGCCTTCAACTGCATTTCCCACTTGATGCACCATGGATTGAGATGAAGGCCCCAGCCAATGGCTGTAAAAGGCAGCAGCATCCTGCGTCTCTCCATGGTGTTTGTGTTCTTTGCTTCTGAGGTCGCAGCTTCCACCAGAAAGATGTCGTGGTATCTGGAAAATTCTACCTCCCTGATCTTGGCAGCATCCCCAATGCGGCAACTTGAGAAAATGCAAAAGAGGATGAAATTTGTAAACATTGAATCCACCCTGTTCTCCGCATGCAGTGCGTACTCTTCCAGGGCTCGGACAACGTCGGCCGGGAAAGGAGGAGCCTGTCTCAGAATCCTTTTCCTCAAATACAAGTCCCTGCACACACCTGCAATGCGTGACGTGAAAACTTTTGGATTGAAATCAACAATGTTGGCAGTGGAGTGCATAAACCAAATTGCTTTGACTGTTGCATCGGCTAAGGTTGGGGCAGCATTTGTTTCCCTCAAGAAACTCAAATACCGATACACCACGCTCTCAGTCAGTTGCATTGGTTGCAGACCTAAATGCTGATTCATCCACAAAGCCATCTTGTAATAGTCTAATGACCGTTTGACAAGTGTTGCAGTAGCCCTACTCCTGAAAGCATCGGCAAAAACACATGAAATCATGTCTTCTCCTGTCAACTGTCCCGATGTGTCCAAAAGTGCCCGGCCAAGTTGTGTATGGGACGGCATTGCAAGGATCAGGTCCCTGAGCCGTCGCATAGCCTTTGCGCGCAACTGGTCATCTGTTTGAGCAAGCCTCACTTTCAGCAGCCTCCTCTTGTGAAAAGGCGTCCTGGACGCTGTTCTCTCTGGCGGCTCAGCTGAGGGTACCAGCCCTTGCAAGCTCTCTCGTTTTCCCACCGTAGGCAAGGACAACCAAGGCATGGGTAAACTAATGGGCCCCTTCTTGAACACCTCTGCAGCAACACCTGTATCCCATGGCATCTTTGGCACTCCCGTGCGCCGCAGCTTCAACATGTTGAAAAAGAGCCTCTTGTCAGGGCCTGTGCCCTTTTGCAAAGCCATGTCTAATGCCTGCCTCTTTCTGGCTGGCTCTGCTGCTACCAGCTCCGAATCGAACTGAACGCCATTAGGGCCATCTGCATGACCTGGCTGTGAATCAGCAATCGAAAAGGCTTTGACATCAAGATGGCCCTCCACTACGCTTCCAGAAAAATCATGCTGAGGTTCCAAAATAGCTGCATCTCCAGAAAGACCTGAAGCTTCTGAACCCTCAAAACACTCCGGATTGTCGTAGATAGCATTCCCAAAAGGCACACCTGTATTTGACCTCCATGGCATCTTGCTTGAGTGTTTCTCCCCTGGCAAAAAACAAGCACAGTGAAATTAAAACCCCAAGTGCAACTGACACTGGTGACGACGATGAGTTGTGCAAGTCCTCACGCAGGTGCACGTGCACCAGTGGCACTGCTGTTCACAATGAAATGGCAGCGCAGGGTCTGGCGCAGGAATGTCTGGCACCGCAATGCGAAAACGTCGGGCCAGCTCAAATGCAATACTCACCAATGTTTGTATCAGCTGTGTAATGGTATAAAGACGCAGGTCAGCTTCACCAGGTGGGAAAAAACTATGGGAAAAATCACAGAAATATTTTCTGTGTAACCCGCCCACCTCATCCCCTGATTTGAGATGTAAAATACAACAAACGAAACATCAAGTATGTCACTTCGGAAAATGATTCAGTAAGACAGTCAGATTTAAAATTTGACACAAACCAGTTTCACCAGATTGTTTCAAGGTTCCAGTTTGTTGGGTTTTGTTTTTTTTTAAACGACCTTGTGCGCTACGTTCCTGCGCTGGGCAGAAAAGACACGGCTTTCATGGTACCCATGATTCACCTACATAACGAAGTCAAACGCGATGAATGCACATAGCCAGAAATCATCGCCATCGCCACCAGGGGTAACATATAGAGACGGGAATCAAACTTCAGCGAAAAGGATTCCAACGTTGGGGTTCGTCCAAACCAGCCAACCGTCTCAACAGAAAAGCACAAATACCCCCAGCATCGAATTGGGTACCATCGACCGGCCAATAAACCTGCTGCTCAATTTCAGAGGCCGCTTGGGGATGAATCTCAGCAAGAAGGGGCCAAAAAACTCCCAATAAGCTTCTTTGGCGGCCACTTTCTCAATAATGGATCTTCAGGTTCAAGCCGGGCCCAACTGTTCCCATCCAATAAAAGGGGAACTACACGGCCATTGCGTAAACCGAATCCCCAATTCGACTTACCGCAGTCACGAAGGCGGAAGCCACGTTGAGATGCCACTGCAACAGCCAGTGCAAATCTGTAGGCAACTTCTTCCAAATCGAGTCCTTGTAGATCGGCATGATGGAATGGCACCAGTCTTTCACAGACCAAAATATGAAAATGTATCTGACTCACAGGATGATGGGGAGCACCTTCTGGTCGATCCGGCTCACACAATGATAACCACGTGTGAAATTCTTGTACAAATTCTTCGCCAGTGTAACTCATGTCCTCAGTTGAGGGCATAAGCTTGAAGACCAGGCGAGAGTACTCTCTCGCGCAGTACACCTTCCTCCATGCTCCCGTGGAGTCGCCCACAGTCACGAGGGTAAGGGGGCGGAAAACAGGGCCCTCATCTCTGTAAAACTTGAACTGTCCTTGAAGCTGATCAGGAAGACGTTCAATGAACTTGAACTCAGTTCGTCGGGTACGACTGCGAGGAGGATTGACCAAAATACCACCAAGCACCAGCTTAAAAAGGCCCTTGATTGAATGTAACCGTGGCATACGTGGTGACAGCAAAGAAAATTGTCGCGGCAAAGTATTGGCGTCCTCCAAAATTTCATTGGAACTCTCATCAGAAGAGCTAACATCACGCGGAAAAGGCCGAGCTCGTGCTTTGGACGAGGAAGCCGCCATATAGAAAATAACTTGTAAATCAGGGTGGGAGGGTGTGGAAAAAATCCAACCCAATCGAACAGCACTGTTTCACCTCATCCAACTTGATCCAAAATGAACAAAAGAAAACAGATCATCCACTCCACAAAGTAAACATGGATCCAAACCCTCAGACACTCATCCACTGAAGCAGCAACAGATCACAACATCAAACCTACCAACAGTCCGAAGTCACAACATGGTTTCACTTCCAGAGGTCCAAGTTAAACTGAACAATCAAACCAGACAACGTTCAAGTCAAGCCTGCACGGTTTTTAAAACAAACACTCAATCAACTTCGTTGGTTCAGCTGTTTCACTTTGTGGGGTTCTCGTTTCGATGCAAGCAGGTATTCATCACCTTGCACTCTACGAAGGTATTCACCACCTTCAACCTTTTGACCCACAGGGAATTCATCTCCCACGTTCATTGTGCACCGGGTTTGTTTAACGCTTTACGTCTTAGCCATAAAACTTTATTGGCAAGCCAACAAGATGCTTATGGCACAACTAGTGCACAATGTACCGACTCGCCACGCATTACTACAAAAAACAGCTCTTACAAATACGCGTCGCCACAAATCTCTCACTCTCACAAAAGTCACTCGTTCTGAAACGGTTCACAATCTTTCAAATTCTCCTTTCCTCTTAATCCTCCCGTTTGATATTACGCACTTTTATTTCAAAACTTGTGGCTGCTACCTACTCATGTCCCACCCCCACGTGTATACGCCGCAAACCAAAGGGATAAACGCCAAACTGAACCAAGGGTGGCGGGGAAAATGCCAAACTGAACCAGTCGAAACCCTAAATGCAAACTCGGCTGCAAACAAAAACTCATCCACAAAAGTTCCATCACTGCTGACGATTGAAGAACACACAGCGGCCCTTTTCCAACGGTGACATGGGGGATCGATAAATCCTGTATGTCAGATGGGCTGTAAACTCAGCCACCAGCTTCACTGATCCAGTCAAGCTCGTTGCAAAAATGTCAAGCTGAAGAAAACTGTCCCACAAATGACCAGATGCTCTTTCGCAGCTTGTAAGGCAAAGAAATCACTGTTCAATATCTCCCCTCTTAACCGATGATTCCAAAAGTATCTTGATGATATCCTGAAGTTCAGTCTCAGGAATTTTACACTCAGCTCCAGATTCTATCAAATACTGGACAACTCCTCGTGAAGGGTCATCTGCTATATTTGATGGCGTGGGTACACGGGTGTACCATGGTGTTACGTTTGTAGCCATTTCGAGCTTCAGAAGGAACTCTACCAAAATGCTTGCAACGCAGTTTCTGCCACATCCTGAAATTGCAACATCCCTTGCAGAGTTGTTATCCACAAAACAAATAACACTTGAAGATCCAATGATTGACCTCCAGACAGAAAAAGCCAGTACCATGGCCAGCAGTTCCGCTTCAAAGATGATGGTCTTTTTGAACTCAGCACCCAACGCACGCCTTTGTTCTGTTGACAACTCCATTGAAAAGAACGCCACCTTTTCACCAAGCAGATTCACAAGCACCCCACCCAGACCACATACCCAGTCGGTCCGTTGAGGCTCATAGCATGCATCGGTGTAAATGGTCCAAACAGAATCGGACGCCAATTCCAAACTTCGAGGCTCTGCATGGTTAAGAAAAATCACAAATCTTCTCAAGGCATCAACCGTTGGTTTCTCAAGTTTATCACCCCGACCTGTAAAAGCATGTTGCGTTATGGCTTTCATGCACAACTTTCCCAAACGACCAAAGACTTGTCCATCTGCAAACTGCATTCTCCCTCTAAGCTTCTGCGATTCCAAAACAGTCATCCGACCCTTCCTGCTGATATCCTCTATGGCGCTGGTCAGCTCTGTAATGCGTTTCTCTGTGTTGATGAAACTGACTTTTCCCAAGTTCGCATTCTCCAAATTGAGGCGTACACCCAACGCTGAAAAATCATCACCAAAGCATGTCGCTTTCTCACCCTCTTCTGCAAATTTCCACCCCAGTAGTCTGAACAGGAGTTCAACAGTGGCTTCCGTACTTTTGACATGGAGCTTCTGAGAGAAAACCACATAGTCGTCGAAAAACACACTCCACATGATTTTTAGAGCTTTGACGCCAGTGAACCAAATGGCATGTGAGATACGTAAAAATGAATACACACTTCTTGTTGCACCAAAAGGTGCTGCAAGCAACTGATACAGCTCGGCCCTTTTCTTATAGGGGTTATATATGGCTACAAAGGCAAACTGCAAGGATGACTCAGCTATTGCAAGTTGCTTATAAGCGCTTTTTAAATCGAAGGACCTGCCTTGGATTTGTGCTCCTCCGCTACTTTTCAGAATCGTCAACAGCAGGGCAGCCACGAAGTCGATTGATTGCGGCTTGGGTGATTCTGCACATTGCACCGTCTGGTTGACGTTGCTAGCCGACAAGTCATCTATCAAGCGTATCTTCCCAGGTTGTCGGAGTCCAAAACGTCGGCTTACAATTGCATCAGCTGGCAGGTTCGCTATATCAATGGGGCCGGATGCCCATCCAAGCTCGACTTCCTCTTGGGTCTTCTTCCAAACAAGCTCATCTATCTCTTTGTCCCCTGACGACCTGCAGCTATGATAATGCTTCTGCTTGATCGATTTCGCCTCCTTGCACAAACTGTCCACCGTTGTTTCTGCTGGCTTGAAAGTTTTCTCAAAGATGCCATAGGTGGGAACTTCCCCTACAAGCTCAGTACCGTTTGTCAATTCTGACACCACATCTGCATCTGGATATCCCAAATCCAGCAAAATTTCTTTCCAGAGAAGCAGCCGCTTTGGCTTCAAAATATTTGCTATGTCTGCAGGCATGCCCGCTTTCATCTCCATCTCTGCTGGTTGAAGCTCCTTTGCCCTGGCTGTCCATTTGCTAAACCAGTCGGCCCTCAGCTTCGGCAAGTGACCCAGATCCTCGTTTTGAAAATTGTGAAAAACAGCCTCCATCAGCACTGGGGGTACCAACGTCGAAATTAGTTTTGGATGTCCTCTGCTCACGGCTTCTTCTATGAATTCTTCAGGAGAAAAAAGGAATACCCCAAGCTTGTTCCATGCAGTTGGAAAATGCTGATGATTGTGAC